AGACAGGAGAGAGAGAGAGAGAAGAGAGAGAGGAGGGGGGGTGTGCATGGACCCACTGAGGATCGGTGAATGGACCTATGTGGGTTAGGGTAGTGTAGGATGTAGGATAGTCTAAGGTGTATGATAGCTTAGGGTGTAGTGTATGGAGTAGGGAGAAGGAAGTCTAGGGTTCTAAGGAGTTGGGAGTTTAAGGTTTTAGGGAGTTGGGAGTTTGAAGTTCTAAAGAATAGGGAGTTTGTGGTTCTAGGGAGTAGGAAGTGCCAATGGTAGTTTCTCTCTAGGAAATTGTTTCTCTCTCCTCTCTCTTTGAGCTTGGAATTGGGTTGGAAGCAAGAGAAGGAGCTCAAATTCTTATTGAATTCTCAAGCATTCCAATACATTTCCAAAATCCTCATTACGAACTATACTTGTTTATATTAAGCATCCACAAAACATGGGTGGATGCTAAAAAACTACTAAAATTGCTTGAAATTACACAATTAATGGAATAAAATAAAAATCCCGTTTTTGTGAATAATGACCAAATTACCCCTTAACACTTTTCATGAAATGACAAAACCATCTCTCCTTGTGGGGCCTTTTGCCATTGTTAGGCTTCAAGAGTTTTTTCGGACACTTTTGACGGCAATTCGGAGGATCAAACACCATAGAATCATTGCTTGCATCATTACGCACGTTTTGATATCCATTGATCCACTTGAATCAAAGTTTTGAGGAAGAACCCAAAATCTGCTTTGTATCTTCGACCACCAATGTAGGATGATTCATGACGTTTCGAGTCTTCTTTTTTATCACAAATTGAAGAGGACTTCGTCACGATCGTTTTGTGATAAAATTTGTTTGATTTGATCTTCGTATGAGCGCATTCCAAATTGGGGAGGTCGTCGGAAAATGAGATTCCAGCGACCAGAAAATGTGTCTTCTTTAACCTCAAAATGCAGTGTCGTTCGACGTCCAATCACGCACAAAAATTATATCAAATTGAAGCCCTCACAAGCACAGTTGCAATGGATCCATATTTGCGACAATCTGACATTAGGATATCGAGATATAGCTCTTAAAGAATGAGATGTTTTGCTTTTCAAATATGAAATTCAAGTGTTTCGAGTCCATCTTCTCTCTAAAAATTCTCCCGTTTCGGGCCACATCAGGGGGCATGCCATATGTCAAAACGAGCGTATCGACGAGATCTAGCTCGAGTTCTAATTTGAGAGTAATTGAACTCAAAATGAGCAAGTTATGAGCATTTTAAATTCATCCAAAAATTGGAAAACACAGTGGTTCACCGAGGTTGTATCAGAATAGTGTAAAATCCACCCTTTGTTGGTAAGTTAGGACCAGAATGGTCTCGGAGCGTCCGATTGAGCCAAAAATTGGTAACTGGGGGTCTTTTGACATTCTGGATCTAATGGCAGTGGTTTGATGTTCATCTGAGACCTCGATAATAGGGTTGTAGTTATAGGGTCCCTTTTCAGCATTATAGGAACTGGATTTGACAATCGAGTTTTGTCCTGATTGTCTCAAAACCTGTTGGAATGCGACGAAACTTTATGGGTGTCCTTAGGGCATCCAAAACTACCCTCTCGTGCATTTTGAGGCTGATCTGACAGTTCTTTTGAGATTACCCAAAGTAGGCTTATTCCTATAATGTTATTATGGTCCGTCGGCGTTTTTGGTACCCGCAGGACCGGGTTACGACTGACTCCTTTCTTATGTGTCCGGGGGATACAAGTACGTAAAAAATGATGTATAACAAATACCTCTGAAATATTTATAGGAGAAATTTGGTCATTTATTATTTAAATAAATTTTATATATTTTATTTGCGTGCACCTCATTGCGGTACCTACACCCACAAAACTTGAGGTTAAATTGGTTTGTAAGAAAGTTATTAAAAGTCAAACACTACCAGATAATCGTGATCGTCTGATGAATTTTGGACGATGATGAGGCATGAGTGAAGTACTGTAGAATGTCGACTCATGAGTGTTTTTAAGTGTTTTCCAATATAATGCAAAATTTGAAATTGAAACTTACATGCTTCCTTTGTTTTTTTTGTTTTTTGAAATCTTATTCATTTACTTGACAGCTATTGTGTTATTTTAGCTGGAATATTTTTGGATGTTTTGGGTTTACTTTCTTGACTGGCTGTCGTGCTATTAAACTTGTCTTGCAGTTATTGGAGAAACTGTTTCATTCTCTTTCCCCTCTGGGCTTCTTTTTTATCAAATGGCGAGTGGTAAGCACATTAATTGTTGCTTCAACGTTCCATATACAATGATTATTAATATGCAGAAGCTACACAGTTTAATGGTCATTAGAAACCCTCTAAGAAATGCTGACCATTTAGGGTTCTCGCAATAAAACCTAAGAGCTTTTTCTCAATATACTACTGTTTTTTTCTAAGACCCATTTCTTTTTTGTTTTCAGGATTCGTTACCTTCTTATTGCCAGAATGTTACGACTTTTGAGGCTTTTGATGCATATTCAACGTTATAGGGCTTTTGTGGCAACTTTTCTGACCCTAATACCTAGTTTGGCACCATATCTGGGGACAATCTTTTGTGTATTGTGCCTTTATTGCTCTCTGGGTTTACAGGTATATTTTGGTGTTTCTCTTCTTTAATGCCTTTTCTCTCTAAATGTTACATTTGGAGTCTGTCGCATGAGTTTTTCTGAGTTAGTTGTTTAGCACTTTGGCTTGGTGAAACGACTCAGTTTTGGCAGGGACCGAGTTCGACTTCCTGAACATTGTCACATTGTACCAAAATTTTGACACTTTTCTTGTTTTTGGCTTTTCGGGATATCAAATGTAGAGCAAATCATTGTTGTGTGAACCATGGTTATATTGCTATTTTTAATTTCAGTAAAGTTTTACTGGATCTTTAAATATGCTTACTATTTTGAAGGCAACATTATATTGTTCTAAATATGTTCTCACGTACAGTTATTTGGTGGACTTGTTTACTCTGCAAATCCCAAGTTGGAAGGAACTGATCTTTATGAGAACAAGTATGGTTCTGCAATAGAATTTGTCAATCAAAAAAACAAGATGCATTATTGTTACCGTTATTGAAATTTTAAATTTTTTTTTTCCTTACTTCTTATCATTCTAAACTTGTACAATTTTGTTGACGAGGTCAGCTATTTGCTATTCAATTTCAATGACTACCCAAATGGGATGGTCACCCTTTTCAACTTGCTTGTTATGGGAAATTGGCAAGGCTGGATGCAGGTAACAAAAATTGACTTTTCAGAAATCCACACTACTCTGTGTGCTTTACTTTTTCTTCTTTTCTTTCTTTGTCATCTAGATTGTTGTTCTGCAGGTGCTTAGTTTCTTTGCTATAAATTTCTCTAAAACTTTTATCCTTTCCCAGAGCTACGTTCAGTTGACTGGGACATCCTGGACACTTCTGTACTTCGTCAGTTTCTATGTCATTACTGTCTTGCTTCTTCTAAATTTGGTAATCTCCAGTTGCTCGACACCTGTTATTGTTATCTTCTTATTATCGTTATTTCATCACACACGATAGAATTGGGTCAGATTGAGTCCCTTGCTCCATTTGGCATTGTGGGTATGCTAAGGGCACATAGATTCAAGCCAAATGCAATCTGTGAGGTCGTAGTAAACCTATCACACGACATCCACATGCCAACCTGTGGTTGGTGTGTACAGACCTACAGTTTGAGCTCAAAGGACCACTGCCATGGCAAGTGATAAAAAATAAAAAGGGCTATGGGCATTGCTTTTTAGGGCAATCAGTAACGCCGACTATTGTTTGAAAATGACTGGAATACCCAGTGTATGCAGTTGATATTTAACGATCTTTAAAACGTTTTCTATTACGCAAAGAGCAGGTTATGTAATCACCAATTCTTCAATTCTTTAGTGGGTATACTGCAATGACATTTTTAGAATTCAAGAGAATTGAAGAATTCCTCTGTAATGCACTGTGGTCTCCCAGTTTATTTTTTAACTGCATGTAATTGAAGACTTTTTCCATTTAGCAAACATTTGTGCCCTTTTGCAGGTGGTTGCATTCGTTTTGGAGGCATTTTTTTCTGAAATGGAACTTGAAAAAACCGATGATTCTGAAGTAGATGGCGAGGTCAGGACTCCCACAAAACTCCCTTTTGGCACTTTTATATTCAATATCTAAGTGCATGTTCGCAACCTCTTACACTTTGGCATTTTTCCAAGTATTGGCATATTACTCATCTCTTTGCTACATATGTTGCTGACCAATTTACACCAAGGAAATGCTTGATATTTGACTATCTTTAAAGATATCACCCAATCCATGTTAATCAGCCAAGGGTGGCTGAGAAAATAAACATAGAAAAAAGTTTTTTTAAGGGCGAGGCCCTGAACAACAAATTAAGGTGCACCTCAAAAATTCACTAGAAGAGGTTGTTTTGACGCAAAAAAACGCTCAATTTGAACATCTCGACCTCAAGATGTATGCACATGAGAAAAAATAGATTTCAAGTCTTGGGAATAGTGCATTTTTTAATATATTATCTAGACTGTCAATTTTGATGTGTTCATAGATCTGCTTGCTGTACATTACTTTTTAATCTTTAAATTTTATAACTAGATATAAAAATAAATTTTCAGGCCATCAAAAAAATTTCTAATACTGAAACGTGTTTTGGCACTATTTGAAGGTGCGCCTTACTTAGATTGGTTAGGGCCTCAGCTTTATAAAACCACACTCATAAGCAAAACTTGCATTAAATATTTTAGATGCTTATTTACTTTCATACAAACTGAATAACTGCAATATTTCTTCTGACTAGCATGTGTAATTTAGAAGCAATTGACACAAATCAAGGAAGTTACCAACTGGTGCTAGTTCCTAAAGAATTCCATATTTGATTACACAATGGAAACAAATGAGAGTAATCTAGTTAGCATCATTGTTAAGCATACTTTTAATAGCCAATTCCAGACAACCATGTCTTTGGTGTGATTTGATGTTTGCATGTCTATATATGCAAGATGTTTTGAATAACAAGCTTCTGGATGGCTGGCATCTTCTCAATGGGATAGGCACATATTTTTGAGGGGTCCTAGCGTAAGGTTATAGAACTTACAGGCTTTGGAGTGTAGAAATTAGGTCTAGTTCAATAATGAACGTACTATTCTATGGGCTTCTACACTTAAAGCACAAGGACGAGTGCTTAACAATATTAGCTGTGATTCAAACTTACTGGTGTGGATATTTTGCATGAGTTGGTAGGAGTTTAGTTCAAACGTGCTGGCACAGATGGTTTGCATTGTTCGGTCAGAGATTAGCAAAATAAGAAAATCTGTAATCCCAAATTGCAGAATCTCTTTAGTTTCATTGGGAAAATATATTATTGAATTCCTTGTGAGTTGGTGTTTGTCTGCCTCTTCACTAAAGATATGCACGCTTGCGACATTTAAATACTTGGCAATATTATGATAATGATAGTAATAGAACATACTAATCTGAAAACTGTAGTCTCAGACTCGTCATCTTTTATTCTATTTTTTGTGACAGGTCACTGAGAAAAGGAAATACCAACGAAGGCGTGTAAGGTGTGCCTTTGTGTATATAGTTGCCATAGCTTTGTTAGCATTGTGTGCGTGTATATAGTTGCCATAGCTTTGTTAGAATTAGAATTGTTTTAATTATATCTATTGCCATGTATTTCAGAAACATTGAGTTCTTTCTTTCCCATTCCATTTATACAGCTCGAAGACAAGGAGTGCTAGAGTGGAGAGCCTTCTCCATCGTATTTTGGGTGCAGAGCTGGAGAGAAACCAATCCTGTAATGCTTAATTCCCATTAGAGGTAATCAGCATGATAATCTTCTAAAAACTTTTGACCTTTTTAATATTATTTTTCATTTTTGGATTACACAAACATACAAATGTATGTGGTAATGCATGCATAGTTGCATGCACATGCACACCCACCGGCATACACGCATGCATGTACACACAAAAAAACACACTAACAAAAATAAACACATACATACATATATACCTGCATATATTAGTGACTGTCATGCAAATCCAGATACAATTCATATGGGTGTATAGAAGTAGAGTGTAGTCCATATTGGGTTTAGTTCACCCCTTTTCGACATGACCAAGTGTTCTACTTACTCATGTTTTCCCCCATATATGTGTGGTTTCTTCACTCATGTCGACTTCCGTTTTTCTTTTCTTGATAAACGTAGAAAATCAAGGGGAAATACTTTTGTGTGTATGGGTGTGTCTGCGATATAGTTTTTGATGACACAGAAGTGTCGAGAGAGACGATGATTCTTCTCCGTATTCTTTGGGAGCACAACAGGGCACTGGCATAAAGTTGTGGAACCAAGTCAGACCTGTCTTCAAAAGCCTGTAAAGCTTCTGACGTTTACCAGTGTCAAAATACTGTCATCCAGTGATCTCAGCGTGCATGGTTTCTGGTGATGGCAACAATTTAAAAGCTATATATTATGTGTATAAGTTTCCTGTATTGGGCTGATTGAATTTTTCATGTTGTCGTCTCTGTGGGTTTTTAACTATTCCCGTTTTCATGTGTGTGTTTTTCTTGATGGTGTTCATTGGGAAATTGACATAAGGAAATTTCCAAGACAACCCTGCTTCGGGAATAAAGTAGATTGTTCTTGCTTTAAGTTTATGAACCATGAGAGAGAGAGAGAGAGAGAGAGAGAGAGAGAGAGAGAGAGTAGTAGTAGTA